AAAAAGAGAGATGAAAGTGAGAGCAACTTGGCAGTGCAGTTAAGTTACCGCTACTTACCGGATCATTTGAGACATTGCCTTCTGACTATGGGAGTATTTAGGGAGGATGAAAAAATTGGAGCATCTAAATTGATGTTACTCTGGATGGCCGAAGGCCTCGTTCAATGTAGTGATGAGAGAGGATTGGAGGCAGTAGCTGAAGCTTACTTGACCGATATAATTTCTAGTAGCCTACTAATGGTTTCAAAGACGACCTTTTATGGCAAGGTGAAGTACTTGCAAATTCATGATCTAGTGCGTGACTTTGTCTTAAACAAAGCTAAAGAAGAAAAGTTCATGCAAGTTATAGGGACACATAACCAATATCAACCTTCATATGATGAGGAACATCGAGTGTGCATTCACCTCGACCATAAGCTTCGTCATGATTTGCAGAGATTCAACAACAAAGTAGATAGATTCCTCACAAGCGGCTCCAAAAAAGGAACATCTTTTGGACAAGATCTTAAATCGTTCTTTGTTACTAATAACGTGGATGATTTTCTTGCTTATAGAGATTTTTGGGATAGCGAGGCTAATTTTCATGGTACTGTTTCTGAAGAGTATTTATCTCGTTCGTATCATTTCTCTTCAGTTGGAGATTTAAGACTTCTTAGAGTGTTGGATTTCAAGAACTGCATTCCAGGGGATTATACGAATATAGAAGATATACTGCAATCACTAGTTCACCTGAGATACCTGGCAATGTGTTTCGAAAAGTTTTTTTTCGAGTGGGTATCACACATGTGCGACCTGGAAACTTTACTGGTGGATACTGAGAGAATGGTAGATGCGACACCTCATATTTGGAAGATGACGAAACTAAAGCATGTAGACCTATTAACACTTTTACCTCGTGAGTTATTTGCAGTTTCTGAAGAAGGTCAGTCTAAGTTGGAGAATTTGAGGGCCTTTAAAGGCATGTGTTTACTTCGTGAGGATATAGAGTTAATTGAGAGGTTTCCCAATCTTCAAAAGCTTTTCCTCATGATAGCTGATAATGATGAATCTAACTCTCCCGTTCTGAAATTGGATGTTCTTACACAGCTTCAATCCCTCGTGCTTGGTTCGATGTGTAATATCACCAAGTATTATTTACCTTCAAGTCTCAAAGAGCTGATCCTCCGCCAAGTTAATATACTAGCAAGTGCAACTTCCACAATCGCTGGGTTACCCAACCTTCAAAGACTGTTATTTCAAGGGTGTATATTCGAGCAAGAGGAGTGGGACGTGAGAGATATGGAATTCCCAGTACTCAAAATCTTAAAATTTCGAGGAGTTCAGCTTAGGGTATGGCATGTCTCAGAATCATCATCATTTCCCATGCTTGAGAGTTTAGTGCTAAGATCTGTTGAATTGCTTGAGAAGATTCCTGAAAGTTTTGTGGAAATTGGAACACTTACATCAATCAAGGTGATCGATTGTGATGATAATCTCAAGGCTTCAGCTTTGGAGATTGAGGAAGAAGTAGAAGCAACTACAGGATGTGACAACCTCAAGGTCTATATTTTTCCACATTACTCTCGGTATGTCTTTCTTTTCACCCTTAATTTTTTTTTTGATAAAGTAACTCAATTTAAGAGGGAACAAAAAGAAACAGAAGAGTAGGTTATAACTGCAGAGTAGGTTTATATCTTATGTATGCTACATCAATCCTAACACATTGTTAATGTTGTTAAAAAAAAAGGGAACAAAAAGAAGCAAAAGAGGAATATGAAGAGGAAGAGAAAGAGGAAGAAGTAGAAGAAGAAGCAGCAGCAGAAGAAAAAGAGAAGGGAGAAGAATAAGAAGAAGAAGAAGAAGAAGAAGAAGAAGAAGAAGAAGAAGAAGAAAAGAAAGAGGATGAGGAGGAGGAAGATGACAAAGTTACAGAGCTTTTAGCGTCATCATTTAAGACTTTCAATCTTGGTTACAGCAGCAGCAGCAGTAGCGGCAGAAGCAGAAGAAAAACAGAAGAAGTAGAAGAAGAAGAAGCAGCAACAGCAAAAGTAGAAGCAGAGGAGGAGGAAGATGATCATTTAAGACTTTCAATCTTGATTACATGCTTTTTCTTTTTCTTCTCTTTTTCTTTTGGTCGCATAAATATAACAAATAGTCCACAGAACTTACTTATTAAAAGTTGTTTGGACATTTTCACCATTCATGTTATTCTCTGTAAAGCCCTATAAGTTTTGTACAATATGTCTAGCTAATTTTGTAACGTCATTACAGTGACACCAAGTATATTCGGAGGTGCATATCATCTTGGGAATATGTGAACATATTTACGGGATTAGTTGATTATTGAGCAAAATTCATTTATAACCACTCGCGGCCTAACCCGGTAGACACAAAATGACCTTATAGAAGTCATAGCCTAAAAATAATGGAATTTATCTATTTTGATAACTTCCCACGCAAGTAACCTTTCTCTGGAATTCCTATAATGAAATTTGCCTTATGGTTGAGGTTTGCATCCAATTTTGTTTCTCTCTGTATGGATTAGCATAATCCACTTAAATAGTTTTTGGCCATTGTTTAACTCTAAAATGCAAAACCATTTTTTGCACAACGTTTTTCATGTTTATTCTTTCTTGGATGTAACTTGAATTTCACAGAAATGTCACAACCACACAATGCAATAACTCTTAACTGCATGCAAAAGCCAGCAATATGAAGGCAAACAGTTTTATTTCCTTGTTAAATTCCATTTTGCGGTTCCCTTTTTCTATTTTCTATCTTACTTTAGTCCTTACACCAAAAACAAAGTTGGAGAGCAAAATTGGAAAGAGAGTTTATCGATGATTGTTCTATATTGGAACTATTTTTTGAATTGTAGAAATTTTATGCTTGTTCTTTCTCAGATAACTATGCATAACGTTGAAATATATATTAAATAGATTGTTACTATACAATTTATATACAATAAATTGTTACTATATTAAAATATATACAAAATAGACTGTCACTATACAAAAAATACACAAATAGACTATCACTGTACAATTTATATACAATAGACTGTCACTATACAAAAATATACTTAATAGGCTGTCACTATACAAAATATATACAATATAGGCTGTCACTGTACAAAATATATACAAAATAGACTGCCACTATAAAATTTATATATAATAGACTGTCACTGTGCAAAAAATATACTAAATAGACTCGCACTATACAAAATATATACAAAATAGATTGTCACTATACAATTTATATGCAATAGACTGTCTTATACAAAATATATGCAAAATAGACTGTCACTATATAAAAAATATACAAAATAGACTGTCACTATAAAATTTATATACAATAGATAATAGACTGACACTATACAAAATATATATAAAATAGATTGTCACTATACAAAAAATATACAAAATAGACTGTCACTAAATAATTTATGGATAGTGATATTTCGGGCTATTAGATGTAATATGTTTGGGCCGGAGGGACATTTCATGTCAATGAAAAAAATATGGGCTATTAAAATTTTGAGGGGCTATAGAGAGTCATTCTCTCTTGATTATTAGGTCTGTATATATTGTATATATTCTAGGAAGATGAACCATCGGTGGTCCACAGTGTAACACTAGGAGCCCGTTTGACTTAGCTGATTTGAATTAGCCGATAAGCATCAAGTACTGAAAAGTACTTTTAAGTGCTGAAACAGTTTTTTAAATAAATAGTTACGTGTTTGGATAAAAGTGCTGAAACTGAAAATAAGCAACCAAGAGTGCTTTGGTAAAAGAATGTTGATAAGCACTAATTTTTGGTAAATGGACTCAAATGCCCTTATAGCTGTAAAGGCTTTTCAGCAAATAAAATTAATTTGTCTCAGCTTACTTTTATTCTAAATTAATTAAATAAAAATTATTTTAATATAATTTTTTATTTTGGTAAACTTACATATAATAGTAGTTAATATTTCGCTAATAATAAGAATGAACAAAATTATTTCAGGTAGAATTAAAAACTTGATTACAACTTTCTTCTTGTTCTTGATTCTTGATATTCTTCCGTATGTATTACATTTTCCTACTAAGTTTTGAGTATGCTACGGTGAATATTATCTTCTTTTGAACTTTAATTTAGATTAAAGAATTTAGTTCTTACATAATAGTTAATTGCATGTGTTTTCGATCTTGCAAAAGTTGTTTTGGCTTAATTAGAATTTTCAAATTCTACCAATGCTGCAGAACTATCTTTTGGTTGCTTAGCACACTGTTTATTATTTAGTAATACACTTGTTAAGTAAAATAAATAATTAAGATTGTTTTGCATTGACAATATCTTTTTTTCCAGAAGAACGAAATTTAACAGAATAAAGGGAGACCCTACTTAATCTGGAGAATGCTATTAACGGTGAAGAGGTATCTAAAGAAAGTGAAGAAGTGAATCATGGAGAGGTCGAGCCCTTTGTTTTAGAAAGATATACTAGGAATTACACAAAGAAAATTAGGATAAAATATTAAAATTATTGGCAGAGCAAAATTACTTATAAGTTAAAAAGCTATAAGCTGGGGTAACCAACTTATAACTTATGACTTATTATGGTTTATAAGCACTTTTAGTGTTACCAAACGCGTAAATAAGCCAAAAAATGCTTATAAGCAAGTTTGACCAGCTTATAACTTAGAACCCGTTTGGCTTAGCTGATTTAGAGTAGCTGATACTGATAAGCATTAGGTGCCGAGAAGCACTTTTAAGTGCTGAAGCTGATTTAAAAAATAAGCAGTTACGTGTTTGGATAAAAGTGCTGAAATTAATAATATGCAGCTGAAGAACTGGATATACGAAGAGTTTTGTTTAAAAATAAGTATTTTAGGGATAGAATAGTAAATATTTTGGTCAAACTTAAAGTGCTTATAAGCTGAAATTTGATAAGTTGGGGGAGACCAACTTATAGCTTTTAGCTTATTTTTGGCTTATAAGCACTTAACTTATAAGCACTTTTAATTTTACCAAACGCATAAATAAGCCAAAAAGTGTTTATAAGCAAGTTTGACCAGCTTATAACTTAGCCAAATTAAACACCCTCTAGTTGTTTTCCATATATGTTTAGGACTAAAGTTTTCCATATTTATTGGGACTAGGGTATACTACTTGTATGTATATTCTTGTTAATCAATAGAAGAAGGCAAGACTTTTCTCTTCCTCTCAGACCAATACTTTGTCCATACTCTAGCATGGTATAAGAGCCAGTAGATTTACATACCTATGGCCAGAGACGAGGGTAAAGACAAAGGCAGTCTGGGCAGGAGTAACAATAGTGATGGAGGCAGTCAAGGAAGACAATCTCTCCATATGAGATAACATCTAATGACGATCCCGAGGTACTGATAACACAGGTACAACTAAAAGAAGAAAATTATGATGAGTGAGCTAGGTTCATGAGGACCGTCTTGCGGCAAGGAAAAAGTTTGGTTTTATAGATAGGACGATCAGGAGACCAGATGAATGGTCTTCAGATCTTGAAGATTGATGGACCATCAACTCATCATTGGTGTCCTGGATCTGAAACACGATTGAACCTACTTTACGCTCAGCCATACCTGATATGGAGGTGGTTGAAGACTTGTGTACAAGTACTAGAGAACGTTTTTTGATCTCTAATAGCTCGAGAATACAATAATTAATTTAATGTTGAACTTCTGGAGTGAACATAGAAAGGCATAAAAATAGTTAATTAATGTGGAAATGACAAAATTATGGGACTAACTTGCTAACATCGAGCAAATTTTGACCTGCACGTGTAGAAAGTGCACATGCGATCTTGGTGCGATGTTAGAGAAGAAAATGGAGGAGGAGAAGGTGCATCTTTTCCTCACGGGATTGGATGAAATATTGTATGGGACAGTATGGTCGAACCTGTGCTCCAGATCCGGTGCCAACTTTTAGTCAAGCTGGTACAAGATGACCGTGCTAAAATAATATGTAAAGCCCCGGAAAATTTGGCTAAGTAATTTAAGATTTCGGGGTGCTAAGGTAGGCGAATTATTTTATTTGTGTGAAAACAAGGATTAGTGATATAATGGATATCAATTGGATATGGTAATAAGTGTATAAGTCATATTATAAGTGATTTGGAGTCTAAGGAAGGCCTAAGTCTAAGCCAAGTTGGAAAATTTCATAATAGACTAAAGTTGTAAATGAGTACGCACAAGACCTCATTTTGGACGATCATATCTACATCTATGTACGGAGCTGTGTGAAGCACAACCTATCAAATTAAAGCACTTTGAGTCTAGTTTCCAATGCATCAAACCGTTTGTCATTAGGAGGTGTACACAGAAAATTATGGTCATTTTACTGGACATGTGTCCTATGCGCGCCAGGTGCGCGGCCGCGCATATTGAAAAGTTTCTGCCTCGCGAGCGGCCTTAGCGCGGGCGCTCTAGTAGCAGTCCTCTAAATATACCTAAGGACGGAAAATGAGAGGATTTAAGTCATTTTTTGAGCTAGGGCTTGCTCTATCAAGGGGAATCCGTCCCATCTTCCCTCCTATGATCCAAGGTAATGTTTTTGGAGTATTTTGAGTTAATTACTACTCCTAAACACTTATATTAATAAGGATTGATCTTGAAAATCCATAGATTCCCATCCAAATCCCTAAATTGATCAAGAACACTTCAAGTGGGTATTCTCAAGATTCTTACCACAAGAGGTATGTCTATCATCTCTAACTACTCTATGGTGATTATTTATGTATGATATATACGTTAGAACTCATGGAATGGTGATTGGAAGCCATAGGTGCCTAACCTAGGTTGTGTTGGTGTTGTAGAGATTGAAAGGGTGATTATTTGATAGGATTTGTTGGTTGCGTGTGAAGGATGGTCATACATATGTTGTTGGAAGTTATAAATTTGTTAGGAATGATGGTGAAATAAATTGTTGGTTAATGGTGATAGTTGGATGAACTAATACTATGGTTATGATTGAAATTATTTATACCTACAAGGTATTTGATAATATACCTAAATGGCATAAGTTATGGAATTTGTTATTAATATTGGTCCCATTGAATGTTGTATTGTAGATTGAAGTTGCTTAAGTGTATTTGATCATTGTAGTATCATTAAGGGGCGAATTTGAGGTATGTAAGGCTGAATCCACGTCTTTTAGAAATTGAGCTCCATCGGTGTTTGTGTAAATACGGTAAGATTAAAGTTGAATTATT